GCCCGGGAGGGCGGGGTGCTAACAAGGGCCAGGGCAGGGCAGGGCAAGCCGCGCTGGGCCGGGGAGGCGGCAGCACCATCACCATCACCATGCCGCGGGTGGTGCCTGACCAGCGCAGCAAGTTCGAGAACGAGGAGTTCTTCAGGAAGCTGAGCCGCGAGTGCGAGGTGAGCGCCCCCGCCGCGCCCCTGCCCCGCGCTGCCCTTATCGCGGCCGGGCGGGCGGCTCGTGATTTGCTGCTGTCGCTTGCAGATTAAGTACACTGGCTTCAGGGACCGGCCGCACGAGGAGCCGCAGGGCCGCTTCCAGAACGCCTGCCGCGACGGACGCTCCGAGATCGTAAGTGCCGCCGCCCGGGCCCGTCGCGGGCGCCACTTCCTCGTTGCCGCCAGAGGCTGAGGCGGCTCCTGTTGCGGTGGCCGCTCGGCGCTGCTCGACTTTGCAGCAACTTCTCAGCCGGCGCTGGGGAGGGAGGCCCCGCTCCAGCCCCCGGCTCCTTGCTTCTCTGCTGTCCGGGACGGGGACAAGGATAGGACCCTGCTGGTCCTGAGGGGCAGCCCCTTGCTGGGCCAGTTTCGCCTGTAGCAGCCTGCGCAGGGGCGCTCAGCTGCTTCCACCTTGTCCTTTCTCTTAGTCCTTTTCACACCCGGTTCTGGCCATGACTGGGTGGAACCTGGTTCTTGAGCATCAGGGTTTAAAGGGGAGGTATTACGAGTATGAAAAAAAAAAAGCACTTTCTAGCCTGGGCCGCGACCTGCGAGGTTGGCTTGGCAGGGCTCCCTTTGATGCATGAAGGGGAAGGACAAGATCTCCAGTCTTCTTTCTTACTTGCAACCTGAATGAATGCTTTCCTTTTTTTCTTTCTTTCTGATAGAGGCAATGGTCTTGAACAGACCCTTTTAATCCCTGCAGCAGAATATAAGATTCGTGTTGCTTAACGTAGTTCAGAAAGGGATGCAACTTATTTCCTGATTACAATTTCTGCTCGATCCATACTTTGCAGTGGTGCTATGAGAGAGTTCTTAACCCTGCACCATTCCTTAAAATGCAGAAGTTGTCTCAGTTTTGCTCTAAAGCACAAGGGAGATGGTGGCAGAATTTTCCACCTCATTGAAATAGTAAATCCTCATCTCTATGGAAATAAATTTCATTTTAATCTTCATTGGAGTTCTTTAATGTGTTTTGCAATGTATTTGACTCTATGTATCTGTGCTTTCAGTTGCTTCTGTAGTTATGTTACAGAACATCTTACCTAATGCTGCAAGGGAACAGAGTTTTAGAGAATAACAATTAAAATAACTTGGTGTTCCTTGTGGTAAATATGTAAAGTTTCTTTCAATGCTGTTTCCACGAAACATGCTTTTCATTACTCTAAAAAGTTTGCCGCAGAAGAGAATGGGTGTATGAAGAGAGAATTTTATTAACTTTCGATGTCCCTGAGCAGGTGACAATACACACTATATAACTTTCCCTGGGTGTTTATTAAAGACTTTAGATTGAAGCTTTACTTTCAGTTAATCCTGAAGAGTTATTTCTGTAAAGTGGGAAATCACTGTAGTTTTACCATCTCATTTTTATGCTTGCTGATACTCTGCCCCTTTTTAAGCAACCAATGATGCTTGTTCTAACTGTAGAATTGTTCTTCATTATAACCATAGAAAATTGTTTGGTCTAGTAACATTGATCACACCATATCCATTTAGAAATGGTGTGTTCCCTATGATCAAAGCTTAAAAAATCGTAACGAGTTAAGGCAGAATATGTGGAGAATTTGCTACAAATTAATTAGCTTCCTCTCATATCTTTGGAAGGAGGGAAGATGGTAGATCCTTAAGTATTTAGAAAAATAACGTGGAGGTAGGCTTGTGATAGGAATGCATCAATCTGTTGAAATTTAGTCTCTGTTACCATTATCAAATAGCACTTGATTAAATGAGGAAAACACATTTGCAAGGAATTGTTAAATGTAATTGTTATATGCCACTTAAACTTTCTGCTTAATTTCTTAAAATGAAGAAATGACCCAAATGAGGAAAGAACCATAAGGTGGCCTGAGAACAAGTTATTTCCATATCAGGTTTCAGAGGGTACTTATGTAAACATTGTAACATCCAAGGCAGGTCCAAGTAGAGGTTTGTACCACCTAATAGTAGTTCCCTTTGCAAAATTTCAGGTTTCCCAAACATCCATGTAGTAGTATTTATGATTGTATTGCCATTTGACTGCTTATCAGTTTTTAACTACTGTTAAGCGCTAACTTCAGTGCTAAGTTTCAGAAGAAACTCATCATGTCACAAATGCTTTTTAAATTGGGTAACAAAGTTGGCTCAGGTGTTAGCTTATATTACCAGTCATATGACAGGTTTTGGTATTTTAAGGAGACGAGCCTATGGCTACATTTGTCTTCTGTGAGTGGTTTATGTGCATGTAAAATTACCTTTATTCTTAATATGCAGAAGTATGTAGGTAAGCTAAATGGTCTGAAAAAGGTCTTTTAGTCTAATGAGCAATGAAAAATCCTTTGGAAAAGAGAAGAAGAAATGTAGTCAGAATTGTTGCCTAAAACTTCTGTTTTTGAAGTAGAAAAAAGCTGAAAACCCTGTGAAAAGCACCTTTTCTAACTACGTTAAATCTCGGGCATGTAAGTATGTCTGTATACAGGTATGTGTGTACACATACACAATATGTGTTTTTATAACTGTGTATAAGAGATTTATCCTAAAAGGTGAACTCTAAATGAGAAGAATTTATCAGTGTCATACGTGGCAACAAGAAGGCCAAGATTTTTTTTTAAAGGCTGTATCCAACATATAGCAGTCCTTGATTGCCTGACCTGCAGGACGTTGTATTTTTGAAGTCAACTGACTTGCTGTTAAAATGCTGCTATGGTGGTTGATGCTTTTTTCCCTCCCCCTCCCTTTTGTGGCTATGTACTATCAGCTTAGACATGATATGCTCCCCTAAAACCATTGATGGCAGCTGAGCTCATGGGGATGATACTCTTATAGGGTGGAGGTTTGAACTTTTTTTTGTTCCTGTGGTGGACTTCTAATCTGCTTGTGGACAGTGTGAGAGACTAAGGATTGACATGCCTATTAACTACTTTTGGGAGCTCAGCTAGGTTGTTAGAAACAGGGCTGTTAACGGTGTTCTTACCAGTACCCGACAAAACACTGGTAGTGATTGTTGGCCACTGCATCAGTGATTTTGATACATAAGTATTATGAGCTCATAAACTTTTTATGGAGATTGGGAGGATAAGAGAGGCACCCTTAGTCTACACGTGATATTACTCTTTTATGTGTGTATATGATGAAGTTTGAGGAAACGTGGGGAAAATAGATGTACACTATACATCCAGTGTTGATCTGAAAGTTAGGTTTAGGGAGAATGTGGTATTTTTTTGATCAGATGACCACATCTGGGGAGAAAAACACCATGCTTTAAAAAGAGAATAACTATATGATTAGTACAATAGCCCTTAGGCCAGATACGAACTACACAGTGCAGTGAGGTATGAGAGCTGGCATGCTTTGGTATTGTCTTGGGTTCTTTTATTCCCCCTTTTTTATAACTCCATGACCACGTGAGGATTTATTCTAAATGGTGCTTTTCCCTTTGCATAGAATATACTGTTGTAAAACCAGAATCCTTTGGCTTTCTGAAATTTGTGCAACTTGGGAAGCTGCAAATGTCATCTAAATCAGGCTTATAATTTTTGGGGGGTTTGTGTCAGAGTACATATTTTTGTTGCATCCTTAGTTTTTAAATACTTTTATTATTGGTTAAAGATACTACTAAGATAGCCAAACAGTGTCACTTCTATGTTCAACGTTACTGCATTGAACAGCATTTTAAACCTGTGCAGTTTTAAAAGTTGGTTCTGTATTTTAAAGAGATATTTAAAACTTTGTAAAAAGTGTAATCCTTTAAAATATTTAAAACTTTGTAAAAAGTGTAATTCTTTTTGGTTTCTTATATAATGCAGTGATTCAAAAATATGTGGGGGCAGAATTCAGTGCAAAGTGATCTTCATAAGCAGTGTGAGCTCTGGCACTATTTTTTATAGACTAGATAATGATGGAACTTGTTCATGGAAGTGCATTTTCATGTTAAACTTCTGCTTAGCTTTCTATGATGTGTTTATATTTCTTAAGTTGTTTTTCTTTGTGTGTTTTGTATTCCAGACAGGTAATCTTACACATGCAGTATCATTTGATACTAGTGACTTATTAAAATTGATATATATGTTTGCTTAATGTGAATTCTTAAAAACACTGTTTTGAAAAAGAAAGTTAATAGAAGAGAACCTAGTCACAGGATATTAGTCTCCTATGTAAAATGTCAAGCCAAAGCAGGTTTTATTTTCAGAGTGGAAGATATTGATCTGATAGTGACAGAGTTGATTACAACTGCAATGAGTTGTACTATAAAAAATGATATTGAGAGCTGTTTTATTTTAGGTGATGGCAGAGTTCTTTTTGCTTCTGATACTATTGACTTCCTGATTTCTCAATTGCTTGGAGAGGAGACCCCTGTTTTCAGTCAGAAAATCTTCCTTATAAATTGATATTGCTTTGAGCTATTCTTTCATGAATAAAGTTCCTTCTGGATTAATGCCCTTTTAAATGCAAGTGAACAGCAGTAATCAATCCAGGTATTTGATTGCAACAAATTCTGTTTGATATAGCATTCAAATACAGTTAAATTCTGGTGGAGCATTTCTGTATATGCATACAGACACACACTGTAGTGTACCATATAATGGAAATCCTAAGTCTTTTACTTTTAAATGTGCAAATCATTTTCTCTCCTGATTCTTGGAAGCTGGAGTTCTCTTTTTTCCTACGAATTAGTGTGAAATCTGTGAATTGAGTTTGTAATGAGAAATGAATCGCTTAATTTTCTGTTTGCAATTCAACTGCATAATTTACCTAAATGTAATATACTTTCTCTTCTCTGCCCCCCCAGGAACCTTAAGTCAGGATACCTTCAAGTATTTTATAGAAGCAGGATATGGAGGGAGGGGAGAACACAATAGATTTCTCATACAAGAAACATTAAAAAAAATCTGGGTTCCACTAAAGCTTTTGCGTACCTACATACTAATTATGCTGGCAACAAGAGGTCATATTCTGCATGATCTAATAATGTATGATTAAAAAAAGGTGCTTATTTCTATATGCTCATTCAGTCAAAGTAAAGATAGATAGTTTCTTGTTCATCTGTCTGGAGACTTCAGGTGCAATACTTTCCAGATTTAGATATCTGTACAGAGCTAATAAAGATTTCTTTTTGTTCAAATTCTTTTTCCTACTAACAAATCTCTGCAGTTCATTTTCTTCTAAAGTAATGGAAATATTTAAAACTCAACAGGCATTTTAGTAGGTTTCATATATTCAGTTGGTACAGGATTTCCAGACAGAACTCTGAAATAACAGATTCTAATGTCAGCAAAAACTGATTTGAAAGAAAGTATTGATTCCATGTTGTATTTTATATCCAAAGCAGCCAATGGCAAATGTTGTCAAAATGGAATCAGATGTTTGTAACTTAATACTTAAGAAAAATGATGAGTGCATGTTTTTGACTTTAAGTATTCTCTTTGCTGCCTGGCTTAAGACATAAACGGATGTAAAAATAAATGACTGCCTGCATAATTTATGTAATGTCTTGCTCCCTGATCCTGTTTGTATTGATTTTTCTAAAAGGCTTTCGTGGCCACAGGAACCAATCTGTCTCTCCAGTTTTTTCCGGCCAGCTGGCAGGGAGAGCAGCGGCAGACACCAACCCGGGAGTATGTCGACTTTGAAAGAGAAGGAGGCAAGGTAAGAAAAAAAATCCAAGGATGTTTACATGCAGCATCAGTGGGCTGCTTTAATACAGACTGTGTGTTCTGATGTGAAATTCCTAGTGTTCCATAGTTTAATGCATATAATTAGTCCTAGAAGTACTATTGAAACTTAAAAGGATGAAATCTGGTAAATCTTATCCAGTTATTGTGTTAAATAAATGTAATACTTCCCCTCTCCCCCCCCCCCCGGTGATTAATACTTGGCTCTTCTGCTTTAACTCGTTTATCTTGGAGGGAAGAAGCCCATTTTCATCATAATCCCATAAGAAATCTGATAGTTTTAATATTTGGTGAATACACTTTAGGGACTCTGTTAAAATTGCAAACCTTGACCAACAGATTTTCCTTGAGACTAATAAAAATGGCTTTTTGAATGTTATAGCTGCAGGGCTTAGCTTGGCAATTGACATGAAGTAAAGGAATTGCTGTTTAGTGGGAAGAGTAGCAATTTTTCAATTTCACCATAGCAAATTATAAAATATCAGTTTTTGACTCTCCCTACTTTTGTGTCCTGAAATGATTGACCCGTGCTCCTAGTCTGAAACGAGAAGTTCCAACTTCTTGTCTAAAGGATTTATTTTTACAGAGTTTTAATGAGACTTGGTAGACATATACATCTGTCTTAATGTGTTCTATTAGCAGTAGTAATTTAACATTCAAGAATTATGATAGACTGTAAGAAATGCTTTGTTTACATGAATAACTTTTTATCATCTTTATGTACCGCTTGGTGGAAGAGAAGCATTTCCTATAATGAAAAAACCACAGAAATTATCAGAAAGATGTGCCCAAGGGCACTTGTGACACCTGAAACTTCCTTTAGCTCATCTATTGAAATTCAAGTGAATGTCATCCTAATTTTTTTCTCCTTCTCTGTATTGTGGAGATCTACACAAGTTTAAAACATGTTCTGGGGCTTGGGAGTGCGAGAACATGGTTAGACTGGGTACTAGCTTCTGTACTGCAGCAACTGAATTGAATCTGTTGTTATTGAGAAATATTGATTCTAGTTCATAACTGAATGGAAAATTATTTTCTTGTAACATGAAAGACTTAAGTTTCTCTCTTTACTATTTCAAAAAAGGTTTTATTTACTTCCATAATTTTTTTTTACCTTTGTTTCCTCCCAGTGAGCTCTTAAAGAACTGAACTATTTCAGTCATTTCCCTGTGTCATTTTTACCATACAGAAACTTGGTACCTACTACTGCACATTAAAATAAATGACCTATCTTGTTTGTATGCTGCTACTTGCTATTTACATGTTTTCTTAAAAAGTAGTAAATTTTAGGACACTTGAACAAGTACAGGCATAGTTCCATTACATTTTTCATCCACAGCTATTAGGAAATGAGGAAAAATGGTACAAACCACTTGCATTGTGTTATGCTATGAGGAAAACACACATTCATGATGGGTATGATTGAACGTCATATGTACTTATATAGTAGTGAAGCTTTACAGAATTAAACTTTTTGGAAAGTAAAGCCACTCCCATAGTTTGAAAAGAGAAACAAACAGAAGAAAGAGAGTAGGTCATGATGTTAACAGAAATTACCTGGTGGTATTAATATTGTAATTTTAATTCTTTTATTTTGAGGACTTAGTTTAAGAATCTCTTTCACATACTTCAACTGTCCCTTGACTGAGCAACATGTGATTTCTGTAGCTCTATGCAACATTTGTTTTTTTTGAGCTTTGATTCTTGAGGCAGTGGCATAATGTGTATTTGTTCATCACTGGAGTTATGCCAGCAAAGCATGTTTTTAATTATATGAATAAAAATAGGCTATCAGGGGAGCTGTCAGTTAATTATTATTCTAGGATTCAGACTGAGACCCAGAATGTAGATAAGCTTAACAGTTTACAAATACTGAAATATTTTTATTCTGGAATTCTATTTTACATTACTTTGTTAATCAGCTTCTGTCCCAGAAATAGCTGGTATACACTTGCACATTCTGGATAAACTATGTATAAATAATAAAAATAATAAATCGGTTCCCCAGCAGCTTTACCCTCTTAGCTGTATAATTGAATTCTAAGGAGATAAATGGGACTTTGAAAATAATATGAGATTCTGGACTTAACTGTTAAGATAGTCCAATTACAATTATACAATTATATTTTTTTCAGTAAATGGTATTTCTTATCAACTAAAGAATTGTTCATACCATTTTTATATGGTTTTCTTAAGGTCATATATGTAAGTGTTCACATTGGCTAGGTAGAATATTGTAATGGTAAGCATGCCTTGGTTAACACAAGGAGTGGATATGAAACAGTTGCTGCTTTTTTATTCTGCTTCAGCTTTGCTACGTACATGATAAAACACTGTTTTTATCACTTTGTGCTACATTTGGCATAGAAGAAGTATACACCTAATAAAATCTATTTTAGGAGAAATTTTTTGTATCCAGGAGGTTGATGAAGTGAAATTCATAGGCTTGTCTCAGAAGTGTTTTGTAAGTTCCCTTTGAAGATTAGAATTGAGAGATTAGCGAGAGGGCGTTTTAAGACAAACTTTTACAGCCTAGTAGGCATCTAAATTCTCTAAGGAATAGGACATGATTAGGATTGCATAAGCAAAGGCATGAACATTTTTAGAGACTCTATTTAGGATACAAAGAGAGATGGCATTTTTAGTGACAAAACTGGAGATGGAAAAAGCACATGATAGATTACGTGATGCTAGGTCACTATTTCTAGTTAGTATAATTCATAATAACCTCCCTACTTCTTAGCAACTTACAGGAAGATGGGAGTTTGGAAACTGTAACAAACTTGAAACTGCTTTTTTAAATATTTCCACTTGACAAAGAAGGAACTGAAGAACAAAACTGCAGTTACCTGTATAGATAAATTTCATAGACATTAGGGCTGGATGGGACCTCAGAAGATAATCGGGTTCAGCCCTCTGCCCAAGGGGCAGGAAGTCAGCTAGGGTCAAACGATCCCAGCAAGATAAACATCCAAATGTTACTTAAGTGTCCAGAGTAGGTGCTTGTACCTAATTGAAGGGCTAGGTCTCATTCTTGCATCTCCTTGCATGTTTCTCCCTCACTGCAGAAGTGCAGAGCTGTGTTGCTTTACCATATTTTGAGTGACATCTTGCTGTCTCCTAACTAGGACAGATAAAGACTTAAAAATGTAAGAGTTATGATTCTGAACCTCCCTGGCTGAATTCTATTTCTGACATCTGCTGCTGAGGGCTTGTGTACTAAGTTGAGTGTCTGCACATCTTTCCTTTCCCTATTCCAAATAGAATGAGTTAGGTCTCATATTGGAGTCATTTTGAAGTAATTTCTCTTTCCTGAAGATCTCTGGCAATCTTCCTTTCCCCTATGTTCACTCCAAGGCTTTTCACTATCTTTAATGTCTGTGAGATTGTGATTGCTCCCAGAGGTCCTATCTCACTTGAGTATTTTATAACTCTCTTTGGTTTCCCTTATCAAAACACACTACAGCTTTGCCTGCAGGTAACTAACTGTTATGCGTATTTGACCTCTTCTACAAAATTATCTAAAAATTATTTTTAAAAATCCAAGGCAGATTTTAAATCATTAGTCCAGTACATCATCCAAAGATAAGGACTTCACATCCCACTACTTGTCTACAAAATTAGAAATCTGGCCCACAGGGCCTTTGGAAGATGATAAAGTTCTTACTTGTTACTAGGACTATTGGAGACTGGTCTTTTCAGATGGGTACAACCTGTGACTTGTGTGTGAAGTTTGTATTATTTTGTAACTTGCGGGATGCAACACATTCTTGGAAACTTGGTTCTAGATTCTGAGGAGCTTAAAATAAAATCCTCCCTGCTAAAATGAAGAACTCCTTTGGCACCCTAGGCCAGATCCAGATTACAGGGCTCCTTATGGGCTGAATCTGGACCCAGTACTGGTGCCAGAGCAGGTTGAGGGTAGATATGGGGTTAGCAGTGCTATGTTGGCTCAGGGAACCATGTATATTAACCTATCTGTTGCTCATCCCTGCACTGAAATGAGTTGCCAGTGTGGCTCCAGATCTTTGGTGGTAGGTGAGCCCCTGCTCACCCTGTCTCTGAATTCCTGGCCTCTCCAGGAGCTGCATGGACCAGATCAGGTGTAGAGGAAAATGTGGTTTACATGCTTGATAGGGATTGTGGTTCACCTGATTCAGTGCCTTGACAACTGCAATCACCAGACTTTTTTGAATTGTTGTTTAAAAAAAAATCAGAATAAGGAAAAAAAAGAAACCTCAGGATGCAGGTATATGGTAATCTGGCCAAATTAGTCTCATCCTAATCCCTAAAAGTCAGATTGGTTTAAATTCCAAAAAAAATAAGAACTTTAGTTTCCCAATTCTCTGTTATCATTAATTATTGTGATTGTTATTGCCTATTTCCGGCTCCTCATTTTAAGTCTGATCTATGTTTGATGTTGAATGACCCTTTTGTTTGATGAATCCATGGTCAACTTCTTGTTACTTTTCTCTGTACTTTTATACAATAAACAGTTCTTTGCTTTTCAGTGTCTTCACGTGTTTTTTTTGTGTGTGTCTAATCCAGTGATTCTCAACCGGGTACCACAGCACTCTGGGATGCCTTGAGAACTTTTCAAGGGTACTGTGGAATGCCACACAGTATTTTTGTTTTTCAGATGACCAAAACTTTATTTCAGTTATGTCATTCGGGGACTTCCAAAATTCTACTGGAAAAGCACATTCAGCGTAACTTAAATAATTAGTGACCATGGTACACTGTGAAAGTGCTAATGCTGGTAGGATATCTGTTGATTGAATTAAAACCTTAACTTTGTGCCAGCATTCTATTGAAAAGGTTGTATGTTGTAGCCGTGTTGGTCTAAGGACATAGGCAGACAAGGTTCTTTGGGTGAATCTGATATCTTTTATTAGACCAACTTAAATAGTTGGAAAACAATTATAAAGCAAGGTATCTCTCCACTATTCATCCCACTTCTCAACCCTCCCCCTC